TTAGTGATGTTTGTCTCAAAACGAATTATACCCAGGAACCACACTGTTCATGTATTGATATTGATGTATACTTAAAAATAAAAATCTAATAAAACTTGGGAAAGAGGGGTGAGAGAGAGCAAGTTTGGTCCAGTGGTTATGGCATCAGGCTAGAAAACAGGAGATTGTGAGTCCCCCCGCCCCCCCATATTAGCCATGAAAGCCAGTTGGACCAGTCACTCTCTCTCAGCCCAACCCACCTCACAGGGTGGTTGTGTGGAAAATAGGAGGAAAGTTTGGTAGATATGTTCACTGCCTTGAGTTATTTGTAAACATCATAAAAACAGGATACCAATAAATAGATGGACAAATATGCCAAATCCAGTCTGAACATTAAGCCAACTTCAATAATAATAAGAAACTAAAGTGCTCTGGGACCATAGAATTCAAACAGCCAGGCACCTGCTGCTTACATTAGAGTTAACAATTGTCTATAAGAAAAAAGCCTGGATAGTGGACGTGGCAATAGCTGGAGACAGCAGAAGAGAAGAGAAGGAACTGGAGAAGAAGAAGAAAAATACAAAGATGTGCAAATAGAAATAGCACAACTGTGGGAAAAGCAAAGCTAGTAATAATAATAGGTTCCTTTGGTGCAATCCCAAACAACTGAAGTATCACTTGAACACAATTGGTATTGATAAATTCATCAGTCAATTGCAAAAGGCAGCTTTCCTTGGAAAAGCTTACATTCTGTAACAATATCTATAACACCATCAAACATCCACATCTGCCTATCCCAGGGCCTTGGTAAGGACTCGATAGGTAGATAAAAGTGCCAAATTCAGTCTGAAAGTCTAGCTGACTATGTGACAAACCATAATGGGGGAGGGAATCTGAAATTATTTATCTTGGTCTGATTATTTTTTACATTTCAAAAACCTGGTATTTTAACAGGGGTATGTAGACTTCCTATATCCACTGAAGTTCTAGATATAGTAGGGAAGAAAGACTGGGCTAGTTACAGGAAACCAGACACGAAGTGTATTGTCTCACAAATATAAGCTAGCAGGAAACTTCTGACTCCACCCAGCTTGTCACCCAATGAGTAAATCGACATTGTTCAAGCATCTCTTTCTTTAAAGAAACAGTATTTAAATGAAGCACCATTTCAACTTCTCAGTAAGTGAGCTAATTTATTTATGTTTAAATCTAAAAGGTTTTGAATGGCTCTAACAGTAAATGGGGAACATTTGAGGCACAAGTCTTGTTGACAGAGAAGGTCTTTTCAGTTTAATCGTGAACACAATTTTCAGGAAGAACTTGACTCAGGAAATGCTGGTATTACAAAAAACACATGCTGGAGACATATAATTTCTTATCCCTCTAGTGGGATGGGATCTCCCAACACAAACTGAAACCAGCAGTGGAGAAGGAAGGAAAACTGCAGCAGAACAGTGCCAGTACAAATCAAAACAATAAATAAAGGTACAAGAAAGTTAAGGGGCTCCCATGGCAGCTCTCATAACTAATATATTCAAGTATATATTTAATACGTAGTCAAACTGTTTAAACTTTACCAGTTTTCCACTACTTGTGAAAAAAAATAACTCCTTGCACTGGAAGCTTAAAATATTTTTGCTTCAATGGAATCTTCCAATCCTTTTTTTCAATAGGGATTAAATCTTGATCATGTGGATTACTTAGTTCTATTTTTCCTTTCTACCGTATTAGTCTCAACTCTTTTTTTCTCCTACCTTTAATTCGTATTGCATTTTTTTCACATGTGTTTCTGAAGTAATTATTTCATTAGGGCAAGGGTTGAAGTTGAACAAGAAATGAATAGAATAGAATAGAATAGAATAGAATAGAATAGAATAGAATAGA